TGCCTTGTGGCTGTGAAATACACCCTTGGAGGTGTGGCTTGAAAGGTCAAAAAGAGTGACAGGACATTGAGTCACACATCAAATTGAAAGAGAGCTTTAGGTGATTTGTTTTTTGTTTTTTGTTTTTTTGTTTTGTTGTTTTGTTTTTGTGAACCTGAATATCTTTTTTATCTTGTTTGTGTTTGAAAAAGCTCAATTCTAAAACAAGTAAATATATATAACTGCATAACGTTTTTTTTTCATTGATTTTATTTATTGTAGAATAAAATAACAAATTATTTCCTGAAATACAAATTATCAATTTAGAATGATGGTGTTGCCCTATGTGTGTGTGTGTGTGTGTGTGTGTGTGTGTGTGTGTGTGTGTGTGTGTGTGTGTGTGTGTGTGTGTGTGTGTGTGTGTGTGTGTGTGTGTGCGCGGTGGTGGTGGGGGGTGCCCTATGTGCTCTCCCCTCAGCAGTGGTCACCTGCAGTGGTGGCTGCCTCTAGTGTGGGAAACAGCGTCCAGCTCGCAGCTCAGCTGTTATTGTTGGGGTGAGAGCTTGCTCACTTCGCCGTGCAGTTTGTTTGTTTAAACCCGACACTGGGACCAGCTCCGGCCAAAACCTGTTTGTTTGTAGTCGAGAAAGTTAATTAAAATGCAATCTCAACTTTTGTTTTTACAGTTGCTGCAAATCATTTGAGCCCCAGCCCCCCCTCGCCCTCGCATCCCTATACCTAATTCTGCATATATAGTGTATGGAGACAGAATGGGGCTGTGATTATCCTGTTTATCTGAGCTGTAAACATTTTTAAAGCAGCCTGATTGTGGATGACGAGGAAGGAATTAAGGAGGTCTTGACACTCTTAACACAAGTAGGGATGGGTGGCTGTCATGATTTTTTAAAATGTTTTAGGCTTACTGAAGAATCCAAAAAGTGTTGTTATGTACACAAATTATGTTTTGTAACAATTTATAAATCAACATTATTATTATTATTATTATATTATTATTATTATTATTATTATTATTATTATTATTATTATTATAGGAAAAGGTTATTGGTGTGAATATACTGCATCTATTTTCTAAACGTTCTCCACCTCAGAGATTTCAATCAACCTGAATGGGTAATATGGAATTAGTCTTTCCAGTCTTGCAGACGACTAATTATGTTCACACATCACTTAAGTACAATAGCTCCCGTGAAATCCTCATTTCGGCGACATTTTCATGCAGGAGATCATAGTCAGGATGGGAAGTCGTTTCCTTGCGCCACTGCAGGCCAAGGTAAAACAACAGCATCAAACGGACTAGGCTCTGTGATTTCTCTAGGGCTCGTTATTTCTTTCTTTTTCTTTTTCTTTTTTTTTTTTACTTCTCAATTCCATTTGATGCCCCTACAAAACAAGATGACCCCAGGGAGCACAAATGAAATTTTGATAATTCTGTCTCTTTCTTTTTTTTTTCCTTTCTTTTTTTTTCTTTTAACCAAGCTGCACCTTTGCGGCCAGTGAAACGTCTGTGTCGGTCTCGCTGACGTTCACCTCCTTGTCCCTCATTTCTGTTCCTCTTAATTGCCTCAGTGTCGGGGAAAGGGGCTATCTCACAGCCTCTTTCACCCCTACTCTTTTTCACCAGGCTTTGACCTCTGACTTGTGATAGGAGGGGGTGCTCAGGGAGCGTCTTCATTAACTCTGAATCAGTGACTCTCCTACGTTTTCAGATGTGCGGTTTGTGTTCCATCATTAGATTATCATATTTTGTGTTTTTTCTCTGGAGTAGTGATACACAAAGAGATGCTTACTGCAGGTGTCTTTTAGTGACAAATGCTTCCTATACTGTGTGTGTGTGTGTGTGTGTGTGTGTGTGTGTGTGTGTGTGTGTGTGTGTGTGTGTGTGTGCACTGATGCATAGTCAGATGTAGTATAGAGAATTATAATGTGAATGAAACGAAGGATCCCCATCTTTGATAAAAGGAATATTATGACATTGTTTTTAAATTGAAAAAAAATTGATATGTTTAAATTAACGATGTTTCATTTTATTTTTTAAATATTTTGTTATTTCATATACATTTCTTTACTGAATATACAGTGCAAGCATTTTCTTACTCCATATGGAAAATATGGTTTTGCTCCTGTTATGAGCTGCACATGTGCCTGTATGTGCTTGTGACAGTTAACATGCCTTAGTTTAGATTTGTGCATGTGTGTGTGTTTGGCCAGCAGGCCTGTGCTGGTACAGTATATTGCCTCCAGTCACTCTGCAGCTGTGTGAGAATGTTCCAGGTTTGAATGTTTATGTATGGGAGGCACCTGGAGAGCACCACACCTTCGCGAAATTCATAAACGTCAGCTATTTCTGGCATCCTCAGAATGTCCTCTTTTTCACACCCTCATATTGCTACAGTAGATTAGAGCTGGGCTTGGTGGATCCCTCCAGTTATTAGCCCAGTACGAGTCTCCTTTTAGACTATCTTTAGATGGTGATATATTTTGTGGATCATCTGGAGTCGTGATGTTATCCAAGAGATAAGGGAGTGCACCATATGGGAGTGCTCTAAATGGCAACTGGCGTCCTGTGTTTGCGTTAAATGGGCATGATACAGCGGCCAGGGCAATATTTTTCAGTTAAAGTGCTCCCTCCCGCCCTTCCTCTCAATAGGATCCAGTCTTAGGCAGATTTTCACTCCTTCAGCACAGGATTAAATGGTAGTAGTTACATTGATCAATAGGTTAAGAAGCATACAATCCCTCTTGTTGCTAATGACCTCAGTAGTAATGGGTAATAAAATGGGGGTCTGTAATAGCCTCTTGCTGGGGCTGTGCACAGAGGAAGCTGCTCTAGCTGTAGTTACTGTGAGCCAGACGCTTCTGACAAGGCGAAGTGTGAAAGCATGATGAGATATACACCCAAGGTGTAAAGAATTAAGACAGTTAAATTGAAGGAAATCTGTAATGAAATTGGCAGCTATTGAGAGCTGGTTAAGTGTGTAAAAATCTCTGTGTTAACTTGGAGTTTGCTCTCCCTTTTTTTCACATCACACTCTATATAATATGGCATGACAAAATGATTATACATTTGAAAATAAGACCAAATTTACAGCTTTAACACGGTAGTAAAAAATAGAGCATGACAAGTATGGAGTAGATTTTTAATGCTTGCAGATAAAGTAAAGCTTCAAAAAAAAAAAAGGGGGGGGGAGGCATTATTATTTATCCACGGTGTGCGCGGGGGGTAAATGTCATGTTAAGACAGGAACTATATATCACATCACGTATGGCGCTTGCATGTCACCAAGACAGGGCTGCTTGGTTGACCTTCAAAATAGTTCATCAGAATTAGCAATGCCCAGAAAAAAGGACTTCAGTGGATAATGACTGTGAAATTAGGAAATGGGAGGCCGGGGCTATGCAAATGACAGGACAAGTCATGTGCAAAAGTCAAGATGAACTGCATATTAAGACATAATACAGGGGGGAATTAATATTGCATTTTCCTCCTCGCGCTCCTACGCCTGGTGATGGCGATGAGAAATGTGAAGTGTGTGTTGGTCCTGGGTGGGGCTAAAAACCTCCTCCGTTCTCTTGAGGCTGGGAGAAGACAGCACAGTGTAGTCTGGCACTGCTCAATAAAGTTAACGGAGAGCATCAAAGCTGCTCTGTCCTATTTGACACCGCTGCCCTTTCCTCTGAATTTGCAGCACAAGCTGTTCATTATGGCAGTGCTTTGTTTTTGTTTTATGCTACAGTGGGGAGGATGAATAAGGTGATATGCATGCAGGGTGTGTGTCAAGAAAAGCCCCTTAGTTACCGGAAGAGGTCTTAAACAGCAAAATTACATTCAGAAATGCATGAAAAATTCAAAGGGTGTCATTAGCTATAAGGCGGCCACACAATTTGGGTAACCTTGGTGAAGACAGACTGTCACCCGCTATGTCCACTCTATCAGCTGCTGACATCAGCCCGGGAGACACAAAGCACATTTTAACACACACACTTACGCACATAATATATACATGCACGTACACAAAAGAAGGATCGCCAAAACATGTTAACAACTGCAAAGGCGCTGCACTATCAAGTTCATCTTAGTTGCCGTTTGTCATCCGAATGTCAAGGAAAGGAGCTTTTAATGGTATTGCACATCATAGCAGTGAGTGGCAGCATCCAGACACACTCTGAGTCCCCTATGCCGCCGGAGCAATTAAGGCACCCTGACAACTGTGGGGGCTCTTTCAGTGTCACAACAAATCACTTGTTTTGAGGAGTCATGCACTCACACCTTTCTGCTGGGAGTTAGTTAGAGGCCTGCGTGTTCTTCACCGTGGCTCCTCCTCCAGGCACTCTACATCTTCACAATAATAGATCGCTGTTGACAGCGTCTCTAATGAAATCTTCTCACATGACATGTCGTGCGTGCGCGATGAGCCAACCGCAGCATTTTTTTGAGGCAATCTTTTAACGTCCTCAGGTATGGCATATTTGCCCCTTTGTATAAACGGTGTGCCACAAGAAGCGGATGATAGCCGATGTTTTTGAGTGTTGTTGTGAGTAAGAGGGGAAAGTTGGAGGATGGAGGCTGGGGTGGATATACGCTGGACGTTTGCTCCACAGGCATGATCCACGCCTGGCTGTCTTGTGTCCTTTAACCCGCCTCAGTCTGGTGTGGTGTCATAACGGTTTGAGGGGTTGAAAATGTGTGTTTGTGTGTTTGTTTGAGGGCGTGTGCAGCTTGTAACACATCAAGATGACACTTGAGATGAATTAATAGAATCTAGTCTAAAGCAAGGGGCATACATTATATAATATATATTTATATATGTTTTTGTTGAGCAGTATTTGTCCCAGGCAACAGCTTTCAGTTTTTTCATATTTGATCAGAGTTTGTCAATAATGCCCAACCTTTTGACTATTGCATGCTGGGATAGGCTTTAGCCAACTTGGCTCGTATTTCCTGCATTAATTCTATACTGTGTTCGTTTTTTTTGACACGTCTCTGCTTGTTTTGTGTGCAGGTTCCAGTTTCAGTGGCTATGATGACACCTCAAGTGATAACTCCACAGCAGATGCAGCAGATCCTTCAGCAGCAAGTCCTGAGCCCTCAGCAGCTCCAGGTTCTTCTCCAGCAGCAACAGGCCCTCATGTTACAGCAGGTAATGTACTGCTGATATTCATGAGTCATTTTGTCGGACAAGGCCTCACACGTCTTGAATGGTGGATGTCACAGTTTCGAATAAAACCCTTCTCGTGTATAGACAGCGTCTCACAAAGATAAATTCACTTTGAACTGCTACCCTTGTCTCTTTTCACAACCCGCAAAGACAACATTCCTCAAAGTATTGAAAATTCTCACTAAACCCACTGCTGAGCTCAATATGACTGACACACACTCACGCGTCGCCTTCTTGTCTCTTCTGCAGCAGCAACTCCAAGAATTCTACAAGAAGCAGCAGGAACAGCTCCACCTCCAACTTTTACAGCAGCAGCAGCAGCAGCAGCAGCAGCATCATGCAAGCAGCAAGCAGAGTAAAGAGGTAGGTTGACATCATTCCCAACCGCCTGCCATTACCAAACCCGTTGGCCAGACAGAGCATGGAAGGCATGTGTGCTCCTTCCCTCAACCCCATCTGCTTCCAGACTGTGGTTAAAGCGGAGAGGAGGGGGGGTGGGGGGGAATCAAGTGCACTCATGCTTCTGATTAGCATGTCAGACTTGCTGGATAAATGGTAACAACTGACTGATACTGTGCTAAGAATACAGTGTCTCTTTCTCTGGAACCATCCGCACATTAAATGTGTAATATTTTATAGACCCTGAGCCTCAGTCCATTGTTTAGTTTTTTTCAAGTAAACAAGTGTCCTATGCAACAAAGAGATGACCGTTCCTGTGAGCCTCGTGTAGGACATAATGAAAGGCAGAAGGGAGAAAGGCAGGAACACAGAGCACATAAATCTGAGAGGCTTTTCTCGGTAATTAACATGGAAATGGCAGAGGAAGAGAAGGCATGTAATTGTGAGATATCAGTGCAGAGAGCGCTCCCAGCTTTGTTGCCTGTGTTGAGTTTTTTTTTTTCTCTCTCTCCATCTTTTTCGCTCTCTCACTCTCCTTCGCTCCCCTCCAGTACAGCAGGGCTTGCTCATAGGCAGCAGCTTAATGCGTGTTAATGACTGGGGGATACAGGCATCACTGTGGACAAAGCAAATTATTATTGTGCGGTCAGAAGAAGTTCAAAGACAATCTGGGAATATTTTTTTTTTTCCTCTTGTCCCCATTGAGTTCCATGTTTGGAGAGTGGAGGAAGCATAGAAAATTAAGCCCCGATGTTAAAAGCACACACATCCACGCATGCTCACGCTCACACACGTCCGTGTGCTGTCGAAGCTTCCAACTTCAAAGTCGTAGCTCCCTAATTAATGAACTGCGGGCTTCAGTTTGGACAAGTTGTGGCGTGATGCTCCCATAAATCAACATGACAGCAGAGCTCCTCGGCCTCAGATAGGGCCTGTCACCAAGTCGCATCTGATGTAAACAGTGGAGGAGCAAGGGAGAAAAGAGGGGGGAGGTGAGAGGCTGGTGGGGGGGAGGCAAGGAGGTGCAATTGATCAGTTGAATGGAGCATGAGAATAAAAGAAAAAACAACTTTTGAAGCATATTATGTATGATCACAGGAAATGGATGCAGCCTCGAGAGGCTCTCCCCCTCCGCCGATGTTTTCTTTCTCTCCCCATCCCTCTCTCTCTTTTCAGTCGCATTTTCTAGCAGCCATCAAAAGACAGAATAAGAATTACGCAGCGACTCCCCTGTGGCTGCCAGACAATAACCCCCTGTTGTTGCTTTGTGCCTCTTTTATTTTAAAGACATCAAAATTTAGTTTTTCAAAGATCTTTAACTTTATATTTGAAGCTTGACAATAAAGGCCTGCCAGTGCCACTCTTTATCATTTGTCAGCGACTGTATTTTTCTCTCCCTCGTGCCACTTCTTGTTAACCTCTTATTTGGTCTATTGGGTCTGGTTTTTTTTTCATGTGTCTGCATGCTGGGAGCGCACAGGAGCTCCTGTCAGCTGATGGGACCAGAAGAAAAAAAATGTGAAGGGGAGAGTGTTAAATTCATTTGCAATACTCGATTTTTCTTTCTTCCCTTTTTTCTGAAAAGCCACCCTCTATTTATTTAGCGTTTTGATGAAAGACATTGTTCCCTGTGAACTCCCACCCCCGTAGCACCATTATCTTTGTCTCAGGCTGTCAGGGAGAACAGAAAACCACTGAAGACTTGAAGAAACTTCTCACACACTGATGGAAGGGAGAAAACAAGCAACCACCTTTCATAAATAGCACAGATCAGAGAAGATCACAGGCCACCTGCATGCCAAATTTCACCTAGACCTCTGTGAGATCTCTATCACGTCTCTCTCTCACTTTTCCCTCCGCTCACTCCTGGGCTAGATCACACATGTGACTGTGAATGAACATGGTCACTCCTCAATTATGAACCTCCACCATCCACTGTCAACGCGCCTTCTCGCCCCTGATTGATCCGATGAGACGACCCGGCCCGCTGTAATACACCGGTGCTGCCCAGAGCTTTTATTTTTAGTGAGCCAGTGCAGGAGCAGCAGTGCAGGGTGTGGGGCAGGAGGAGGGGAGGAGAGGAAGGGAAAGGAAGGCCGCTAGACCCCTTTTGACAAGCCGAACGGGGGTGGGCAGAGGGGACGCGTTTTATCTGGCCGCTTCAGAGCCGCCAGCGAGTGACCTGACAGCCACGTTGCAGCGAGACCTTTTTTGTATGCAGTCAATTGTGAGAAGTAAACAAAGTGGTGCATCCTGTGTTTGGTAACAGGGTGCGGTGCACAGCTTGGCAGCCCCTGCACTGCTTTTAGTGCCCCCACCTCTCCTCCCCCCGCTTGACAACTGGCCTTGTGTACCCATAAACAGGCCTAGTGTGCCACTGAGTCTCAGGCTTGCTTCTTTTATCTTTATCTTTTAGAAAATACAGAAGGTGTCCTGATACATGGTGTTGTTTAATTGGTAATGATAGGCATTTTGGAGTTGTTGAGAGCAGGAATTGATGAAAGGGTTAAAAGTCATCTCTCTCCTCTGTGCCCCTGTTATCTAAATAACATCTCTCATTTGTTTTGACTCATAGGAGATTGGGGATATTAGATAATTTCCTTCTATTTATTATTCTGACTTTGTCTTTTTCTGCTTTCCATTTTCTCCTCTGCTCTCATATCACTTTTTCATCCTATCAGAGTTCACACGTTTCACTTAGCAGAGCCAAAACGTTCCCCCTAACCCCTAAATCAGTAAAGACACGCCAGCTTTTCATTAAAAACTTCTCGATGAAACAGCCACAGTGCAGTTAGATAAACAAAACAGCCGTGTCTCAGCCAGTCCACAGTGTGTGATGGAACAAAGCTCGCTGCGCTGGCTGGTGGGAGAGTGTATCCCTGAGCTCAGCGCCATGCCTGGGAGAGTTGTGAGAGTTGCTGGGGTGGTTATTAAGCACTTTGATTTAGTCACACGTTGTTTGCTGAATTATGAATGGCTGTAATTAAATTCCTGTGGCTCTTATTATGAATGATTAACTATGTTGTTTCATTGTTTGTCATTTGCCTCCCGACTCCTCGTTAATTAAGAGAGAGAGATGTATACGCTACCTGTCTTAAGTGGGCCCAGACTAACCCACAGTAAAGAAAAAAATTATGAAAATTACAGCCTGCTATTGTGTGTGAGCACACGCTAAATCCATTCATTTTATTATTTTAAGAATTAAAGGGTTTTTCTAAAGTGTTAAATTTTACAACCTGAACTATGAACTTTGTGACCTCGCACTTTAAAAATGTCTTTCTTCAAAGGAATACATGAATCCAATGTACAAACCAGAAATTCAGCTTTACATGTTTGCACTGGCTGTTATGCTTTTATATATGTGTGTTTGCTGATGGTGTGCCTCTTTATCTTTGTCTGTGTTTATGTGTGTGTGTGCCACCAGCAGCAGGTGTCAGCACAGCAGTTGGCCTTCCAGCAGCAGCTCCTGCAGGTCCAGCAGGTCCAGCAGCAGCATCTGCTCAACCTTCAGAGGCAAGGGCTGCTCACAATCCAGCCTGGACAGACCGGCCTGCCGCTGCACTCCCTCACTCAGGGTCAGTACCTAAAATCACAGCACCGTACTGAACTACAGCACTTTGTCAAATCTCCTGTCCATCAGTCCTCAACTTCTCAACAGGAGCATTTGTGGTAACAAAACACCTCCTATTACCTCCAGTATAGAGTGCTGCAGGAATGAGTCTGTGGTTAATACTATAATACTATAACTATAATAAAAAATTAGAAAAAAATGTTTTTCACATTTTGTTCTACAGCATAAAATACTCAAGTGAATACCCAATCTTTGAACTTTGAAGCTTTTACGTGTCTTATAAAAGGCAGTTGCTAGCAAGTGACTAAATGAGACTACAGATGTTTTTGGTAACATTAAACATCAGTAGGCCTACGCCAAACTCAAAGACTTCTCTACTCACTAGTTCGCCTTTACAGTCTTGTTGTGTTTATACTCGCACTCTTGCTAACTATGCTAAATCACTCAGTGGTAGTGACATTGAACACCACAGTATAGTTTGTTTATAGCCTTACGTTAGCTTTTTAATTCTGGCGATAGCATTTAAGCTTAAAAAATCATAAATGTGGTGCAAATTTGTGAGGATTATCTTGCTGAATAAAACGTGTAAGTATAACAAACCTTTGTTTGCCACAGAGCTTATTTTCTGCAACAATCCAAAATCCAATGGAAAAATCCCATTGGCTTATTGTCAAAGGAACCATTGAGATTCTAACTTCCAGGTTGGCCTACAAAAATACATCATCCCTGCAGCACTCCATATAACATATGCTGCCTGCTGTTGAGTACATATTAGAGCCTGGGTTACAAAAAACAGCGGACATTAGGGTTATGCATCTGATATATTGGATGATACTGGCCTTGTATTTAAAAATATTGGTCAGTTGATTTCCTCCACCTGTTATAATGGGAGTTGTTCCCTGAACATAACTTTTGTTTTTGTTTTTCTTAAGAAAAACTATCTTACCTGATAACACTCATTTTTTAAGAGTCACATGATCATCATAAATACAAATGTTTTACAGGCCTTTAATCCCTTAACAGTTGTGGGAGAAACATTTGACTTTTTTGGCACACAGATGTTCCTGTTCATACTGATCTCATACAAAAACGATAAGCAGCCAGACTGTTAAAATATTAGTATTCCTATGTGTCTTCAAAGACCTTAATGAGATTACTTTGCCTTTGACTTCTGTCGTGCAGAGCTGTTGGTGTGGCATTGTAGAAATCTGTAAGGTTTTCAGATACCAGTTTTTGCAACTTGTGTGGGTGTATATCTCTGTATATTCAGCGTGGTTAAATCTGCTACTGTTATTGCTGTCCTCTACAATACCGGTGCAAATTTGCTTAGTCAAAGTGAACAATGCACCACTTAAGTAAGTAACCACATACTCTACGTGGTTTCACTGATTCAGGGCACACCTATTGTGAATCCTCGCTCAACACTTCCCCTTCAATTTACTAAATGGCATCTTATACTTCAGGTGTTTCTGGTTCTGGCATGCTACACTCTCTTTGTCATCATCCTGGAGTTTAGCAGTAGTGATATATCCCCCGGTTTAAAAATGGAGATAGAGTTTGATGCCCACACTTTGTCCTTGAACTCTCTGCCCCATGTCTGTGATTGGCATCCTGGTGGCAGTCTCCTTCAGCCTGGAGGAAGACTGGATCTATTGTTCGTAAACTGCCAGTGAACTTGTCATTGTGAAACTGCCTGTTACTTGATAGGGAGTCAATACTTGTTGTTTGGCCAGGAAGTTTATTTCTTTATTTATTCTTTTAATATTTTGTTAAGGAGTGGTCGCCCTGTGACAAAGACGGCGTCACAAGGGTTTTTAGAACATGACATTGACTATTCATTCCCAGCTAAGACAAACAGTTTTGAAATAACAAGATAAGGGCGATAAAAACGGGAGGCTTTGGGGGGGTGCTTAGGTAATAGGCAAACACAAACAGGGTTTGTACAGTGGTGTTATTGTTTGGACTGGGTATGGAATCACTCATCCACTTGCAGACGATTGCCATGGGCACAGGCGTGGAGCGCTGCTGTGTTGTGAGTGTGCTTTGCTGAATTGCTCTGTGTCAGATGTCTGGCAAACACACACGCCTTGAGTAAAGCATTATATGGGCAATATGACTAGGTGCTGTACTCTTGATGGATTTCACAACAGCCCCAGAACATCCTGTTTATACTGTGCCATCATCAAATACCTCCAAGTCATCTCACCTTATCAAGAGAGGAGATCTGTTAAATTTATATCCTTTTATATAAATCAGTTTTCAATACACACTTACACTTTTTAAATCTCTTTCAAAGAATACTTAGATGAAATCTTACTTTTATTTCTGAATGAGAAAATCATTATTCAAATTTTGTGATTGTCCACCATCAACAATGTATTGAAATGAATTGTACTCAATACTGAGGGGATCCTTTTTTGAAGGTGTCATTTGCATAAATATCAAGATGAGGAACTGAATCTGCCTGTGCACAATCTGTGTTTTGTTTCAGTTTGTCACGACCAGTCGAACCTGGTTGGTTTGCCCTTGCAATCCATCGATGGTTAACTCTGTGCCTCCGACAGCTGTTACAACACTTAGGCTAGTGCTCCAGGCCCCCAGTTTGTCTTCCTATTCTACACATTTTCTGCTTGACTGTTTGAAGTTATTGATGACCTTTCTGTTTTCCACATCACTAAACTCTTTCATGCATCAGCGGGCCAGGCCTATGGTGCTCAGATCTAATCTGCAATATTCAGCTAGCAGTTAGTGGCTGCGTCGGAAGTGATGAGTTGATCTGCTCTGTTTGGGTCCTGGTGATTATGGATTCAAACTTCGGGGGCAGTAAATTGGCATGACTTTTTAACTGATGATTTTTATTTCTTTCATTTCAAAGTGTAGATATCAATATCATTATTTCAAAAAGCCCCTGTTATCACATGCAATCCTCAGTGTCGGTTTTTTTTCATGTGCTGAGACAATGAAAGGAACAAAAGGTTTCCAAATAATAGGTCACTGTAACAGTCATTAAGGAAGAGTAGGTGTGGAATCTGCAGTTGTGTTTACGGCACTATTATGCAGTTTACAGCTCATTTTTGCATCAGTCTCCTGCTCAGTTACACTGTTGGCTGAGACAGATTAATCACAGTGGGGTTTTTTTTCTGCCAAAACGATGGACTGAAGGAATGCATTTGAATTAGCTTTTCAAAAATTTGATAGCACTAATTAAGTATAAACTTGTAGATAGGCGTTTTGAGTGAAAAACAATTGCTCACATTATCTGCAGTATAATTTGTTTCTCTTGTCGTAAATTCTTTTGACATTAATGTTCAAAGTCTTGGAAGCGGCCAGACGGTATCTGTTATAAATTACAACAATGTGTTTGGGGAGGATATAACTCTCATAAATATAAATTTGATCCCCCCCACCCCCCTACAAAAAGCCTGTCCTCTTGACCTGATAAGTGAGTCAGGCTCACGTTGCTCAGGTGTTGTATGAGTGTGTGTTTGCATGTTTATGCACATCTGTGGCTGTGTGTGTCACAGTGGTGGGCAGTGTTTGTGCACGTCCTGGCTAAAACGGCCACTCGCCCTCCGAGGTTCCTCTGCAAGAGAGTGCGTTCTTGTAGCTGAACAACATCATTTAAACTGTCTCGCAGAGGCCAGTGGGACAGTGACAAGACAAATTTGTCGGTAATATGAAAGCAAAGAATGTGGCGAGCCATGAAGTGCTCACAGAACAGCAGCACATCAGGGACAGCGGTGGGTAATGCGGCTGACCTGTCAGTGATTGATACGTCCAGCAGTGGGCTACTGGTAATAGTTCCAGCAGCATTAGGACAGGACATATTTCAGGCCTAAGGGGTGCATATCAGCAGGCCAGTGATTACGGCAACATAAACAGGGGTGCAGTAAAGGTCCCAGCCTGACGGAACAATAAACTAATAGCGATGTCACTGTCCCCCCATGGCACCGGCACTGTGTGTGAGAAGTAACAGCTCGGTTTAAAGAGCCCGGAGCACAAGGGGCCATTTTTTATTTGGGGGATGATGGCCTGCAACTGATGTCATTATGAACCTTAAATCAACTTTCTGCTTGCTTGAACATGGTCACCTGGGTACAGGGGGACAAGGACAGGAAAAGGTTGAAGAGCTCGGCCTGTCTCGGTGCCAGAGCTACCTGCAGAGGTAAAATTGAGTTGGGAGGCCGGTGATCAATCAAGTGTCCCAACAACATACATTTTTTAGAGTGCTTGTCCGTATTTCCCAGTCGTAATGAGTGAAATAGTTGTGTTGAAAAATGGAAAGAGGAAAGATAAACCAATCCGGCATTTAAAGGATGGACAAACTGGGGACCCAAGGAAGAGGATTTACAGATCAATGTCATTACGTGTCCAACAGTAATCAGATGGAAAGAAACCCAATGCATTTTGTCCAAACACAAAATATAATACCCTCTGAGACATTTGTGTAATGGTATTTTATTGTCATTTATGTGGAATCATGAGCCATAGCTGTTGTTGCGTTTGAAGAGGTTAGGGTTAGATAGGAGTACCAAGAGGGAAGAGGCGAACAGAGAGCAATAAAACTACAGACTAGATCCAGAAAGAGACAGCCTGGTCCCACTCCGTTACCTCTCTCATCAGACCGGTCTATCCGCTGCGGTTTCATCTGAGTAAACAGTGGTGTCGGGGTCACCAGGACTGCTGGGTAATTGAGCCAGTGTGGGCCGCCCTGTCAAGCACATCGGCTAAAAATACATCGCCCACTGTCACCGGGCACCAAGTGGGGGAAAATGATTGTTCCCGCTGTCGGAGCGCAGGACACTCGCATCACCAGTGACCTTCCGCTTCCAAACCAGCCATCGTAGAAACAAAAAAAGACTTTTCCTCCAAAGTCTCCTTAAGCTATCAAAACAACAATGGATCCTTTGATAATGCAACTGGAAATCAGCAAGCAGTGGATTAGCATGCTATAACACAGAGCGCAATATTAAGCATGTTTAGCCTGTCATGGACGTGCACTTCGATTAGGGCACATCAAGGCATTGAAGAGAATAAGGGAGAATACAGGCAGGCAGAATGGAGCGAGGGTGTTGAAATATTCCAATGAGGAAAGACGCTCCTTGGAACGTGGAAAGGTTATTGATTTGTCCTGTAATCATTTCCTGCTCTTTGATATGCAAACGATCTAGTGTGAATTTACAGCAATCCTATCAGACTCATTTCACAGTTCTTAGCCCCTGCGTCTCTCCGGAGTCCTCCGCCTCATTAGGCCAATGTTCTCCATTACCAGCATAATTAAAATCTTTAGTAGCTTATCAAATTAAAAATATTTTTGCTGATCGTATTGAGATCTTCACCTCACAGTTATTTGCCACAACAGGAATAAATTAAGACTAAGCATTTTGCACACAATGTGTTACAATCTGCTGCTTGAAAGGAGCACTTCTGGTATCTATAGAGCTGGTGATGAGAAACGGGGGGGGGATCCGGAGAATATAAACCCAAGTAGATAAGCATGTGCAAATCATCTTTCATTTGCCAGTGCTCATTTTGAGAATGGATTTAATTAATTGTAATGTTAAACGAGTGGTCTTGCCCGTTTGCTCTGTGGTTAAATTCACCACATATCCGAGGGCTTCTTTCACCATACTTAAAATATGTGGCTTATTTAACCACAGAATTTGAATTCCCAATACAAATCCACTCATATTCCCCTGTTAGATCTTTCAGTATACTATTAAAATAAGAGTTGTCCAGGGAAGTATGTTTTGACTGAAAATACAAATAGCCACAGATTTTGCTCCCATGAGGCTTAATCTTTTTTTACATATCTGCTTTATCCTCATTTGTGTCAAATAAAAGCGAACTCTGGCACAGTCACAGACACACCATAGATGGACACATACATATATATATATATATATATATATATATATAACGAAGCCTCTCTTCTCTCAGAGGTGGAAAGTGGGATGCACAAACACAGCATTATCCTTCTTCATCCTGACTCTGGCCCATGGTGTCGGGATCGCTGTCACTCATAGGCAGAAAACATACACGCACTCCGTAGATGTGTTTCCAGCACACAGAAAAATGTCTTCTGTCTTCAAGGGATTTTTTTTTTCAAAGGGCTGTGTGAGCTGCAGTGTGCTTGACTTGTTAAATGAGGTTTAAGTCTTCTGTGTCAATTGGAGGCGGTGCAGAGCTTTAAGTATTTTGCACATTAATGCGCTTTTGAGAATATTACCCCAGGGTCCTGTTTCTCAAGGAGGCAGGGGTGGGATGTTTTCTAGTGTTGCCATTGTAAACTTTTTGTTGTGTATGCTCTGCACATCTCTGTTGTTGAGAGAAAATGATGGTGATTATTCAGATTTCATGCCTTGTCTGGATGTTAATTATTTACTCTGGGCATGAAATTTGCGTGAATGCCAGGGATTTGTGTATACAAACACGCTTCAGATCACAGGAAAAATGGGAGGGAGAAAGGAGGTGGCAGGGAGAGAGAGAAAGGAGGAGGCAAGTGCTCTCAGTGCATTACCCTGTAGTGGAATATTTTCTAATTAATACTCGGCTTTGTTTACAGACGCTTTGATTTAATTAAGTGATGAAGAAGAGAGTTGGATTAGCTGTTAATTGATTTAATTATCCAATTTGTTTGTCTCAGGCATGATTCCAGCAGAGCTGCAGCAACTGTGGAAGGAGGTGACAAACGCTCATGTGAAGGAGGAGCACAACCACAGCAGCAACAACGGCCACCGGGGCCTCGACCTGTCATCCCCGGCACCGCCAAAGAATCCACTCCACAACCAGCACGCCTCCACCAACGGGCAGTACATGAGTCACAAGAGAGAAGGGTGAGTCCGTCTCTCTGCGTGGTCTTTTACACATTTCTTGTTTTCTTATATTTGCTTGTGTCATTGCATATTTTGCGATCTCTTGCAATGAGGACATGGGTCAGTGAAGACACACACAAGCGCAAAAGGAAGTTCCTTAAGTTATTTGTAGCCTACATCTGGTAATTAATCTGGTCTTCACTGTCATCTTTGTGTTGAGCAAACACAAGGCCCATGTGCCATATAGTCCCATTTAAAATAGCAATCTCTCACAGGGCTGCAGTTGATGGACATGTCCCCATAGGGTTTGCATAGAGATTAATTTATTTATAGTTAGTAAGTATTATTTCCATTAAGGTCACTGTTCTTTGTGCCTGGATGCAGCTGGGGATTTCATAGGAACACCTGAAAGAATACAGGGATTCAGAGAAATGTGCACCACACTATTAATAAGGGGGTCAGGGTATTGACCCCCTCCTGATATTGTTTCAGTTTCACATTGGGAAGTACAGCTGTGTGACTTGAGATTCTTGAAGATATTTCAAGTAGCAGTGTCTTTACAGAAAGGAAAAACGCTTCCTTGTATACTGGGAAACTTGTTGACACATAGAATCAACATGGTCATCACCTGTCAGTTCAGGAATAGAAAAAGAAAACAACATATCAAGAATAATAAGCTATTATATGCTAGAGAAAACAAAGCATGGGTTTATCATATTTTCAAAACTAGGCTGAATCATCTGTGAAAAGTGTTTGCTCTCCTAGCTGTGTGTCTTATGTCTTTAAGGAAGGAATTCATTTGGCATCTTACACATTTACTTGTTTTCTTGCACCAAAGCCTGATCTTTGAACTGCTAGTGAGGAGCCTCCAGGCACCATGAGCTCACTGCATAACATCTGACTTGTGTTTCAGTGATCAAAACGTACACGTCATTATGAAAGCAATGCTGATGAAAACATGTTTAGCGCTGTAAACCAGCAGGCCTTTGGAGGTAAAGAGAGGGGGCATGAGGGGTTGTAGAGGGAATCTGAGTGACTTTGAGAGGGAATACTACGATTCATTGATGGAAAGATACAAACAGAAAGCAGCTATTTCTTATTTAACAGTGGTTTAAAACTGATTCATATTACCTGTACAGATTTATCCTGTTTACTGTGTTTCAAAGAGATCTCCCAGCACACATACTGGGGAAAAATAAAATTAAAAAAATGGCCATTAGCTCCTCCCACAGTTGACAGTATTCCCAGCTTCCAGTCCTTCATCCAGTGTCTGGCTGAATGTCTGGTTTCTGTGTAGCTGAAGACAAATCGCAGGGGAGGATATTGACTCGTTCACTCCATCATGCATTGTCGCGAGCGAGCAAACAAGGTGAGCATCGATGGCAGGAAAAGGCAAGAACCAGCCTCAGCTGAGGCGCTCCATGAAACATCGGAGAAGACATAACGCAAGAGCTGGCAGCCCCTCTGCCTCGCGCTGACTGTCAGAGATTAAAGAAGATGTCAACAGCAGTTTAACACAAGCTTAAGTGAAGAAGGCAGTCTCAGTCTGAATATTCTCGCAGTATCTCCTGTCAGAAAACCGAGCAGGTGATTCTCATCCAGCCCATCTGCTCAAGGAAGCCGCGGATTACCTAGCTAGAGCTTCAAATGTGCAATCACGAAGAATAGATATGACGGATACAAATTGAACACAAAACATTCCTTATTAAATGCTGAATGATGCTAATTTAGATCCACACAACCAATAATCCCTTCTTGTGTTAATTTTGGAACACTTGAATCACACAACTATCAAGAGCATTGTTCCTCTCTTTTGATGATGCAGACTCAATTTTAATCAGACTCCATGGGAAGAAAAATGAAATATTATTAAGTATGATTATTCTAAGCAAGGCTCTGAGAAAACGTCTGTGTTATAATCCAGGGATTTGAATAATCAGGTTGAAGATAATGGGCTGGGCCGGCCTGGGCGTAAATAGAGAGCATCCACTCATCCTCCCAGCGCTGAACTTAATGAACTTTTAATTGATGCGGTTTTGCAAGTCCTTTTGTCATGCAACAGAAACAAGCCTCTCTGCTGATGGGCCTGTTTTCCCGACTGGCTTCAGATTGGTTTACAGCAGGCCCTAAGTACCATGTAGTTAGTTTCATGTGTCATATAAAATCTGCCCAGGCACAACGACGCCTGCAACTAAAACCTTAAGTGCATCCACAGGAATCACTCACCGGCTTTGCACTTCCGTCTTAAGGAAGGAGGAGAAATTCAATCACTGCCGGCTTGACACACCGAAGACGATGCACGTGTTCCTGCTTTTACTTGTCTCGAAGAACACTCTGGCGAGGCAGGCTGGGACTTCTGTTTGTCTGAATAACATCCCTGATATGACCAGGGCCTGAGTCACTCAATCTGTCAGCCCGTGTTGTTTCCCAGCCCACGAACTGTGATGCATAGATAGAGATATACCCCTGTGAGCCAGGTCATCTTTATTCAATGATTTGCTTATTTAAATGAAATGTGCCTGATCTGTATCTGACACAAATTCCCAATACAGTGCTGCATCAGCTTTGTAAGGGGGAGCATCCTCACAAAGCGCTTGGCCCACTTTACTTCCCAACAACCATCAGTAACCACAGCTCGGGGACTCTAACACAGCAATCTGTTAAGGAGATAAATTATCAGATTTGGCACAGCACTCCCATCTCTCTTGCCTTTCATTTGTCTTACACCAGAAAAAAAAGATAATTAAATCATTTAGGGTAAACCATGCAGTAGCACAGATGGAAGGAAAGGATCCAGTGTAGGGCCTAGAGAGTTAAAAAGAGGAGGGTAGTGGTGTATGGATGGAGGATTGAGGGGGGACACACAAGGGAATAGGCTAACATTAGCACCAATGGTGAGGGAGAGTGTTGTGACTGGCTTCACACACTGTGGCCAGACTCTGACCTAGCATTGGTGGACATCAATCTTTCAAATTTTGCTGATAGATTGAGTCCATCAGCACACGAGCATGCCATAGATCATGACTTGTTTATGGCCCAAGCATCTCATCAAAAGAAGTGAACTAGAAAACAACTGGCCAGCAGCTGTCCAAGTCATCGTTGTGTGCAGTTCCTCCTGTCTGTCCACACATAAACACAGTGCAACACCTGGAAGGTTTGCACACTTGCTGTCTGGGTCTATAGGCACTTTAATGTTCCCTCTCCTCTAAAGGAAGCTGATGACACGGTTTTCCTCGTCGCTGTTACAAGATCATTAGAGTGTTCTTCCCCCGGGCTGCCTGACAATAATAACATCCTGACAGACCTGTCATGGGTGCAAGTCAAATTTAACGCAACGCAGGGAACTGCAAAGCGGTTTCCTTTTTCTTTTTTTCCCCCTTCAACATGTTCTCAAATGGGAGAAAACCCCATGAATCCTACACTCTTCTCCTATTACACTAATGTAGCTCATTTGGTGTAAATTCTGTCATTTACTACTGTTTAGCCATCCACCGTTTAAAAGGGCTCTTCTGCCGCCAGCCCCTCACAGTGCTTTGTGCTCACTGATTCCCAGCGCACTCCACATTTCAATATCTTATTAATACAGAATTAACCAACAAGCCTGCTCGCAAAGAATTAAAAAAGGATCTCTTTAAATTAAAAACCAGCGTTACCTTCACCAGTCCACACATTTCCTTGTTAAAAACTCATTATAATAGGTCTTCCGCCGTATATTTATTAGCTGTATCAAAACAGAGGTCTTAATGTGAATGCATAATTCATAATTGAATAAAAAAAAATTCTGACTTTTGAAAGAGGGATGGAAAAAAAGCTGCTAACCACATTCATGAATGCTTGACTGCTTCCTAATTGCAATGCAATTATCACATGTTATGAACAATGTGAACTCTTAAGCAAGTAATTATAACACAAGGAAACCTGTGACGACCTTTAAAATTTCCTACTTGAGGTACAGCTTTACCAACATTGATACAAATGAGATTTTAATCTGAACATCAGCTTGTTTAATCCGGTAAAATTGGCACACCATGGTTAGATTTCTTTTCTTTTTTTACTAATTCATTTTTACATCAATTTTTAAAATCACAGCAGATGGACGATTGGCTCAGCAATACAAGATGTTATTTTCAGTATTTATTTTTCCTCGCTATCCTTAAAGACATCCCCTGGAGTGGTAGCATAAGACATTATTTCTTATTTAATATATGTATATGAATGAGATTTTAGTGGTTGGAAGTAGTCCCACATGGCAACACAACAGTGTGTGGTGTAATGAATCTCCCTTTCTGGCCTGTTGTCTTAGAGAGCAGTGCTCAGACTGGAGGAGAAGCGGCAGCAGCGTTGTGCTCACGAGCCACCAGAAGCACAGGTGGCAGCGATATAGGCCAGTCCCCCAGGCTCTTGTTGCTGAAAGTTGTGTGTCTTGTATAGTGCCTGTGTCCATATGGCCGCCTGTCTCGCTCTCTTAGCAGACACAGGCCGCTCTCTCTCAGCACTGATTGTGGTTAGCTGTGGTTCCACGCCTCTCGCCATATGGAAGATGTTGTAAAGTTTGTTTTTCAGGGATGTTCCCGCTATTTAGACTGATTGTACGGAGCCATACGCTCCCACATAGATGCAAGGCGCTTGTCAGCCCCCAGTGACAGGGATTGGTCAGTATATAAATTGATACCAGGCAGGGATGTTTACAGTTTGTGCACGGCGTGAAAGCGCCTGATGCTTTTGGGGGTTTCATGTTGTGGTACGCGCTCCTCCAGGTGGGCCCTGGGACATGATGCAGCAGGCAGCACAGGAAAAGCAGCGATTGAGGGAGCCCCCTAGCAGTCTTGATCAAAGTGAATTGCAGCATGGCTCAGTGATACTAAATAATTACATATTGATTTAGTTGTGCTTTCGCAACACGGGTCCCCTTTTTTAAGAGAAGAGCAAGCAGGGATCACACAGGTACACTGATTCCACACAGACCGAGGTTGAAGTTTTCATGTGGAAACAACATATAGTACACACAGGGAGGTGCTAACCAGCTTAAAAGGAGAAACCATCTTCTGTGACATGCTATGTGACCACAGGACTCTAACTGTGTTTGTGTTCCAGAAAACCTGTTTTTATTAATAACCGTCTCTCTTTCTGTGAATTTCTCTTTCAGATCCACGCTAGAAGAGCCTTCCCACCACAGTCACCCTCTCTATGGTCACGGTGTTTGCAAGTGGCCTGGATGTGAGGCGGTATTTGATGATTTCCAGTCATTCCTCAAGTAAGTCATAGTCAGAGGTGCGTTTCTATCACAGTTTGTTTGTCCTCGTGTCGGGTCGATTACACGTTTTGTGACCCCTGGCGACTCAGAGGCACTACAGGTGCAGCTGGTTGTTATTCCTGAGTGCGGGTGCCTGGGTTGGCACTCTCTTGACAAGGGTACTGTGGCGGGGTCTCCTTCTGAGAACGGCATGGGCCTTCTAATTCCTGTGATAAGTGCAGTTCCCATGGTGACGGGGGCCGTTTTTCCCAAACAAACAACGGTAGGATGTTTATCTGTGGCAGCCCGCACTTAGGGCGCTCTGCATGTTTGCCCTTGTCACTGGACAGGAGGATTGGTGTGTGTGTCTTTGACTGCCTCGGCTTTTTCTCAGTGGTTTATTTCCCTCTCCTCTTTCATGCTTTACTTCCTTGACTTGTTTTCTGGATTACAGTATTGTCTGGTTTACTGAAGGCCCAAACCTATGCACTATGTTAAAATGAAACCATGTATACTGTACTTAAAGAGGTCCAGCTAAGACAACATCACCTGCTGTGTAGCATCTTTCCAGTGTGAGAAGTATCTAACAGGTTTGACCCCGTCCGGTCTGACATGGGCCTTTGTACTGCACCGTGTTTCTCCATCTGAGTCAGGCCGCTGGTTTACTAATCAGCCCTGTGTGTAGTGCGCTCTAGGTAATCCAACACATAACAGCACCATGGTTACGGAGAGGATGAAAACATCTGCATTGTGGCAGCAGATCAATGGCTCACTGTCACCCCGGATTAGTCGCACTTTAAACAAGATATGACACAATTCCATTATCCTAAAACAAGCACTCAGCGAGCACACAGCTTCCTCACAGGCGCAGGAGAGAAAGGTGCTGCAGAGGGACGCCTCACAAGGCAGCTGAAAGTTTTGACTGTCTTTGTCAACATTTTCGTTTTTCTGATGTTTGCTTAAATCCACTTGGAGCACAGTTTGCTTTAGTAAAGCGTATCACACCAGATTGTGTGGCAGTGCAGTACAGTTCTCTGTGCAAGATGCAAAAAAATGGCAGTTATGTGTTTTTATTTTCATTAAATAAACATCCTGTGACACGTAGTTATTAAACCACGTTTTGCGCGCACACACTTTCCCACATAGACACACATATTTCAGCTTTGGGAGTGCCCCCTTAAATCCATCACTATTTATTGTATTCTGACATTGCCTCACCCTTTGTTTATAGAAGAGAGGGGAATTAAATTCAGTGTGCCCGGTAGAGCTCTGCCTTCAAAAGTCTCTAAGTGCACTCTGCTGTGTTTTTACAAGTGTTTTTATCATGGCAACATCTTGTTTACTTTAGTTGCCTGCTCAAACTGCTTGGAACATGTTAAGAAAACATTTGGGGAGAGTCTCCACAAAGCCGCCTTTGTTTAACAGCAGGCAAGAGTGCGAGCAGCTCACCAAGGTGTTAACTCTCAAACCCTTAAGCACTTCCACATGAATCCCAGCAACTGATACTGCAGGCCTCCGAAAACAATCAAAAATAAAAATAAAGAATACATTCAGACGTTTTAATGCTCTTGCAAAAGTCTCCAAAGGTTGGGAGAAATGTTGAAAATATAAGTGAAGGGAGTGTGTGTGTGTGTGTGTGTGTGTGTGTGTGTGTGTGTGTGTGTGTGTGTGTGTGTGTGTGTGTGTGTGTGTGTGTGTGTGTGTGTGTGTGTGTGTGTGTAGTCAGCAGAACACAGTGTACTGTGTACCAGAGAGAAAGAAAGGTGAGGAGGACTCTAACGTCAACCAGATTTCAGCTCCACATGCCAACAGTAACAACTAACACGGGACTGAAATGTTGTTTTAAACTGTGTGTGTATTTATTCTATCTTTTAAAGAAAACATTACATACCTACAAGCACTATCTCGATAAATACAAAGCACCAAAATCCCTGTTCCTGTTTTCTGGTTCAGCACACAAAAGGGTGGGGTTGGGTTCGTAGCAAAGCCTGCTGTTTTTACGGGGGTCAAGACCCCTTCTCTTCTGTGTCCAGTCAGAGGTCAGAGCCAGGGAAACACTGCAGTGCCCTCTAGTGCTGCACTGCCTGCCTGCTGAAACACTCCTCTCTCACACCTCAACACCACGGAGCAATTGTTTTGCACCACTGCACACCATTCAGATCTCATGAAAAACCACAAATAAGCCAAACGTAAAATAATGTAAAATCAAGTTTAAAAACTGTAATCCTTACATAAAATTAATGATTTTAATGCTCTGTACTATGTTTTAATACTTAATACTGTGGAAATAATTAGAAATATGCACCAAAATCTTTAATGCATTTAAATGTAAATACTATTGTAAAGATGTGTGATTTAATTTAAATTCCACCAAACAGTGAAGATGATAAACCTTCCTCAGAGACAGCCTTAAGCTCTGGGTCCAGTCTATATAATTAGAAATTGTAAAGGGAAAAAAAAGGCGAACTAACTGATATGTAAAAAGCCCACTGTTACAGGAATGTCTATTTAACTTGTTTTATTGTGGCAATTTACATTAGGGGCTGTCATCCTGCCAGAGAGCTTTTAAAAGTGGCTTCATTTGAAGTCCAGAAAGTGACACATGCCAACGTTCATAGTCTCTCTCGATGTCAATTCCCCCGTATCCCATGCTCCCGTGTCCAGACACTCCTCTCAAGGCTGCATTAGGGCCATTTGAATATTTCATTTCCTATTAATTATGCACTGTGACTCTCCATGTCATTAGAAGAAATAAAGTGGAATGTAACAAAGGATGAAAAGAAGCAGGGCACATGTCTCCTATGAACAGAGAAATTCCAAAGCTGCTCACGTAGGCCACCCTTCATTGAAAATTCAGTCTGTGCCAGTTAAATTGAAGTTGAAACGTCTTTACCTATTATTTTCTTCTTTGAAATTTAGTAAGATGTCCTGAAATGTTTACCAGTTTCATTTTCCGACCTACTTAATTAAATGGGCATTTATTTGACTCAAACAAATGGAAAGCCCAGAAGAAGGTCTGAATTGATTTCAGCAAGAGGGGGTTATTGCCCACGCTTTCTTTAAATATGCCTTTTTAATTTCTTTTTCGCCACAATAATTAACTTCAAGCACTGAATGTATATCACAGTCATTTTGAAAAATGTATTATCAAAACACAATAGGAGGACCTGAAGGGGGGGGGAGAAGAGAGACCACGTTTCCCATAAAGATTTAAATCATTCACCTCAAGGTTGAAAATACCACAGCTGAACAGAAACCTTCACATTTCAAGCAGAGCACTATCAATTTCCCTTCCCTTCACATGTGTCTGTTTTCTGAGCGTCTGTGCTGTTTAATGCACAAATGTGTTGTCTGTACATAAAGCAACGGCGTCAAATTTATTGGGCTATCATAACGCCAGCGCTGCGACTGTCTGTGCCTTCACAGGTCGACTCTGGCTATTTTTGATTTGCAGTAAATGACAGAAAAAGTGCATTTGAAAAGGCAGCTGCGTTACACACACACCTCTCTCCCATCTGCCGGCGCCACTGTGTGCACACAGACATGCCTAGTGACAGTGACCTACATGGTCACCGAAGATGTGATATAATTTATGATATATATAATATATTGGATCCATTAGCGAGCATAATGAAGTAGTGAAATGAAAGGGTATTTGTGAAATCAGTTCAAACATCCTGCTCGGATTATGATTAAATGATTAATGAAATGCCCCTGCATAAGCATTTTCAAACAGTAATTCATGCGGCGGCTGATAAAATTCCTCCAATCATATTTCCTTCACTCGTGAACCTTATCTCCACCATTTTATATAAATCACAGAAAAAAACCCTCGTCTGCTACCCAGCAAGCTACTTATTTAGATTAGTTATAAACGTACAGGAAAAGAGAACATCTTCCCTGTATAAAATAATCATGCATAATTATATCCATAATTCAAGTTTGTGACAGATCCCATCTCCTCGCCCTGTTGTCCTCGCCATTTGGTCTGGCTTTATTTGAATTCCCTTAATTTTAATGACACAATTAGCAGAAAAAACACCAAAAAAAGGGGGGCAAATTCAAGAAGGCAAAAGGAAGCTGGAGTCAGAAGAAATGGCATCAGGGCGCCAGTGCATAATTTAGCAAAGGAGTCCAACCTGAAATTCTTCAATCATTCCTCTTATCTGTGAGCTGTAGTTGGAGCAGACATGACTGCCATGAAATATTGAGTGTCATTCTTGTATGTTAAAAGAAGTGTTTCTTCTGGTTCTGCAGATTTGGTGTGTGTGTAATCTGTGCAGTATGTGAAGCTCTGCATGGTTATTTACCACATATTCTCTATACATTGGGCTTTACCCAATTACCAGATCGCATTATTAAACCACACATTACAAGACTTTTGTTTCTTACATATAAGAGGCTGCAGAAGTCAAACTGACAGCTTTTTTTTGTGTGTTCTCTGTTTTTTGTTTTCCAGGCATCTTAACAATGAGCACGCCCTGGATGACAGGAGCACGGCCCAGTGTCGGGTGCAAATGCAGGTCGTACAACAGCTGGAGCTGCAGGTATTGTCTCTCAGTTTGTTTTGGCCCAAATATTTATGTGTCTTCTTCTCCTGACACTTCCTCAGTGTCTGCTGAACCCCTCCCTGTCCGTCTGATATCAGCCACGGGGTCACTCATGGAAGGCGGGGGTTGGGGCAGAAGAATGAAATAATTTTGTACATTTGCAAGTAATCAGTCATTAAAAATGTGTTATGTATGCATGACAGCCAGGAAAAGATATATGAAGGGCCCGGGGCTAAGTAGAGAAGATAATTACATTTTGAATTTTACTGGGTTTTAAAGTTATTTATGACTTTTAACTGTTTGGCACCAACAATAAAACACTTGGTGAAATGACTCGGCAGCGTGGTGCGGATGGGCGCTCACTGCTGAGTGACTTTAAAGAAAACACTACCGCAGAAAACTTTTGACAGTCGGTGGTTTTAATACAGCTATGTGTGATCTTTCATTGCCTTTTTCTGTGATAAAAGAAAAATCTGCATGTGTACATTAAGAATGCACTTATGGGAAAAGTCATCGTTCACAGTGATCCCATCATGGGGGCATTATAATGGCTTGTGTGTCATATGTGTGTATGTGTAAGGGTGGTGGGTTAAATGCTGACCACATTGCTAATGTAAGGTTGCCGTATTTATTATTATAAAACCAACCGTTCCATTAAACAGTATTTTTATGAATTACCTTGTAATGTATTCCAGATTCTGTGCTGCATTCTCTTGTGGTTCACATATTAGCCACATAATACCCTAAAATGACTGATAATGAGTATAAAACAGTTGTGGTTTACAGGATGTTAAACTTAAACAATGAGAGTTCAGTTGCTCAAACATTACACCATACCAACGTCCTGTTATTTCCACTCTGCTGGTACATTATCCAGAGGGATGGTGTGAAGGTTTATCAGACACAGACTTCCTCTGCATGCAGCCTATCACCGTGATTTAAGCTGGCAGCTAAGACAGCGCTGAGTTTCAGACAGGTAGAAAGGGCCCAGGCTTGTTATTGGCAATGAGAAGCAGTATCTTTTAACCTTGAATTGGAGACAGTAGTTAGATTGTCTGAAGTGCAGAGTTGTTGACAGCTTCCAAAAGCATTTTGAGAACAAATAATTAGATGGTCTCGAGAGCAAAAAGATGGATTTGTTCCAACAAGCTCATTGTAAAGGATGCCTTCGCTGCAAAGGAATGTATGGAATTAATTAAAGTAGAGATTTTTTCTTTTTGTATATAAAAAATGTAATGTGTTCTCTTCCCTCATTACAGCTAGCGAAAGACAAAGAACGTCTGCAAGCTATGATGACGCACCTTCATGTCAAGTCCACGGAGCCCAAAGCCACCCCACAGCCGGTGAGCAGCAACCTTGTCATACGTCTTTCTCTTGTCCCTCCCCCCATCCTTTTGTTTGTCTTAATTGGCACACATGTATTCATTAATTCCTTCCTCCATCTCCTTATTTATCTGCTAAATAAAAACAGCTGTTCTCTGGAGGGAGGCAGTAAATATTGTTTGGACCACATCTGCTGACATCCGAGATTCAATTTGGTGTCTGTGATGAACTGGATGCACACTCTGTAACAGCCTCAGCTCCAGAGAACCAGTGCCTGTTTGGGCAGACAGAAAAAAAGCAGAGATAGAAATACAGCAATAATAATAACAGACATTATATTTTATAGATAGACATTTATTTTTAGTGCTTTTAAAAGATAAGTTACAAAGTACTTTCCTGCCACATAACATAAAATATAAGAACTATTTATTCTAATGCATATAGAATAATAATAATAATATAATTATAATATAGTTGGCTGAAATTAAAGTATTATAGATTGATATGTACAGATATGCTAGCTGATGCCATTCCAAAATATAGGTGGTAGCAGCACCTGCTGATTTTGATTTTAATATTGATATTCTATGATAACAGATGCTTCCCTCAGGACATCTTTGTTTAGGGTTGAACATTTTTAAGGAATTACCCTCAGCCACCTTTAAAAGTAATTGGTGAAATAAGATCTAAACAGAAGCTAATCTTTGACTTAAATGTTGTTTAAATTGAGTTTGGTATCATAGTCAACAACAGAATGAAGAGTGAACAAAGGTCATTTTGTAAAAATGCTAATTATGCAGGATGAGAAAAGAAAAGGAAATGTCTCAGTGGTGGTTCACCAAAATATGTTGCAGGTGAACAACTGATGTGAATAAATGTAACAGCAGATCAATTTATTATCTTCTTGACACATTCCAGACATCATGCTTATCACTCTTAATATATGCCACGCCATAAAGCCTACTGCTTAATCCCTATCCTATAGGGGCAAGGGCTTAACATATGGCATTTAAGTGTCTGCGCTATTTTGTCATGTTTAAGAAGGGGCCTCACCACCATATTTCAGCCTGTATGACAGTTCATTCAGGGAGCCAAATGTGCAAAGATCATTTCACTGCAGGGCGTGAATCTGAAATCACGCACACAGACGCACAATATACATGCAGGAGTCTTGTCTCAGTGCAGCTTGGATCATTTATTTACAGTCAGTGAGGTGGCCATTGACGTGCAGAGGCTGCATGTGAGCTGAACGCAGCGCAGCCCGTCAACATAAAGCGCCCGGAGATGTCGGACGACAATGGGCTGTCTGTAAAAGCTGCGCCTGTGTCACACACACTGATTGTGTAGATTAGAGTGCAAAACGAGGGCTCTGACACAGAGACATTTGTATATGAAAAGTGGTAGGGGCGGCAGATAGCATCTTGAGTTCACTACCTTTCCTCTCTCCCCGGGGCCTATGAGAATGGCTGTGTCAAAGCTCAGCGTTAACACTCTCAAGGGGGCAAGCTGGGATTTTTATTCAAATAAATAGACTCCCATTCTCCAGCGCTACTTTGCCTGCTGTGAGCCGCTATGAAATGCTATGATAAATATGTCTGGCTTCGGCTGGGTGAGTGGTGGACCTGCACAGGTCAGGGCCCGTGGCCCCACTGAGGCTTTAGTGAGATTGCAGTGGCCACCAAAAAAAAAAAAGGAAAAAATCTTCCTTTTAGTAGATGCAGAATGAAAGTATTCTCAGGGCTGAATGGAGCTACTCTGAAGAAACAATTGTGTTCTTCCAGTAATTGCTAGTTATGCTTTTCTGCTGTTCTGTGCTGTTGCATATAATAAAGGCATGTGTAAGTAGCCAACTGTCACAGCAGAGTAGCACAGATGAATTTGCCGGTTTACATTTAGTTATAATTAAAGACAAACAAACTGATACTGTGCATGTACCACGTCAGATGAATAGGACTCATTTTATTCTTCTGAGGTGGATTGGGGGGGGGGGGGATCAAAACAAAATGTGCCACATTAGCAATGCCTGTTCTCTGTGTGTGTATGCCCGTGTATGTGTGTGTTTGTATTTGCCTCTGAGTGTGTGGGTGGGTGTCTGCACTCGGTGTCACTAAGCATTCTTGTCAGAAATCTGACCTTTTACGCCATACATAATTAAGGAGGGACTTTTTGTTTATTTTCTTTAGCAGCTTGCCGAGTCAAAGCCAGTATAATTAGATCACCAATTACCATTTAATTAATTTCAGTCTGAAGTCTCATTTTGTCTAGGCACTGGAGTGAGCCCAAATGGTGAGGCAAACAAAGGCAAGGCTATTACCAGCCTGTCTGGCCTATTGTTGAAGCCTCTCTGTGTTTATTGCCAGGGAATATGGATGAAACATGAAACAAAGCCTGCTAATCCACAGGAAGAGAAGTCAACACCGCAGCCCCATTCTATTGATAGCATTGTGTCAGAAACACGCGAACCCTAGTGTGATTTATTTTGCTCGTGATTTAGAATAACACGTCTTCTGCTACTGTTGGTGAGGATGTAGTCTACATTTGTGCATCCCAGCAGTAATCCAAATTATTTGGGCAGACTCTGCCAGAAAGCCAGAGTTCAGCCTCCAAAACATAAATAGACATTGTAAAGACTTGGACACATGTCCGTCTCTAATTTTGGTGAGAGTAGTTTGCAACGTAATAATTTAATAGGGTCCTTTTTTTTGTAAAATAAAAAAACAAACGTGTAAATTAATTCTAAATAAACCAAAAAATATTGTTGTGACAGTGTCATGTCAATACTGAATTCTGGGAGTGGCAACCTTGGATTTCTGAGCTCTATATTATACATGCTGGTAATAATTGGTGGCTGAACAGGATCTGCGTTGCTTTGTACAGTCACCTGTCTGTTGTCAGTCATCATGTCTGATCTCCTGGTGATCAACAAATTATGTCACAGATGAGATGTGTCCCACCAACACGTCTCCCTTTTTTTCCTAGCTCCCCATTTCTCTCTCTGTATTTTCTCTTTTCAATTTTTCTCACAGTCTGAAGTCATGTTTAATTTGGAAACTGGCCTCCTTCGGCAAATTAGCAATTAGAACAATTTTGTTGGAATATGTATCTGTGTCATTAGTTTTCCTGCCAATTAATAGCTGGAGCAGGGGGTCAGGCTAGAATTTTCCACTTGACTGCTGCTCCAGTATGGAGGCTTGGCACTTGGCTCACAGCCGCCACAGCTGCTGGAAGCCATGCTATACCTTAGGAGCACTTGCCATAATTAGTTTACCTTGTAGCCATTATTACTTAAATCCCTCCTTCTCCCCAGCCCACCCAGCCCATCCACACACAGTGCTCAGCGGTAAAACCAAATATTTTCTACATAAGGCTGTCCATGAAAACACTGTGAGGCCATCTTTACCATGGCCATCGTGGCCCTGATGATGGAGGTCAGTCAGATACAGTAGTTAATCATCAGATCACCTCCATAAGCAGCTCCTAATTAGAGTCCTCACAATACAATTTCAGCTTGTAATTAGCCCAGATTGGCTTCTTCCTCTGGCTGCCTTATTAGCGGGGCTGCTCAGCGGTAGGTGAGAAGCACACTGTCATTTTTCAGAGCTGTTCGGGCCGCCCATCTTTCCTCACTCCACTCGACCCTCACCACTTACAATGCTGCGGATCCACAGTGGGTGGATGAGGTGGGGGTGTGTTGTCCAAACAGGACAAGGGGGGACAAAAGATTTAACAAAAGGCGATGAGACAGAAAGCTGGGAACACGGCAGCAATAGAGAGGGAGGGAGGAGAGAGCAGAGCGTGAAGAATAGAGGAGGTGGAGGAGTGGGGCCTCCAGGGTTGTTTTCCAAACATTTAGCAAACGTTCATGGATCATCTCAGGGCCTGCCTGCAATTAGAGTGGAGATATGCATAGCCAATGAGGCGTCTGAGACACATGGGTAATTAGAGGACTAACTGTGCTCCTGTCTGTCTGTCTGTCTGTCTCCTCAGCTCAACCTGGTGTCCAACGTCACATTGTCCAAATCGGCCCCTGAGGCCTCTCCTCCTCTGAGCCTGCCCCAGACCCCCACCACACCAACGGCACCCCTCACACCCCTGTCCCAGACCCACTCCGTCATCACAGCCAACAGCCTCCACAGCATGGGCCCCATGCGACGGCGCTACTCAGAAAAGTACAACATGCCCATTTCTCCAGGTACTGCAGGATAAACACACACACTCACAATTAAATACATGGAACTGCACAATGACTGACTGTATGCACAACCATGTAATCATGCTGTAATTTGTGTTTTCAGCCTCTGATGGGACATTTGTGTTGACACCTGATCATTTTATTCCATATTGACACAGTTTGTGTTTGTTCCCTGTGCGCAGATCTCAGTCAAAACAAAGAGTTTTACATGAATGCAGATGTTAGACCGCCGTTCACGTATGCCTCATTAATAAGACAGGTAAGGAGACTGCTTTTTAATCCATCTACATTTAGGAAAACAGGGCCTTCAATAGCCTTCACCCTGCCTAGTCACAGTGAGGAATACAGCGGATATACAGTCAGCTATTTAGAAGGTCACAAACTACAGTTATTCCGCTTATTTCTCTCTTCCTTCCTTGTTAAATTTCAAATACAATTTAGACAGAGGAGCAGATTAACCATCTTCAAATGAGTGCAAGAATGCGTACAGGATTCAGAAAAACAGCCACATATGACAATTGCATTTGATTAAGCATTCCAGTGGCTGTGATTATTACCAAATTCATTTCACACAACAGTAGGGATGAACCTGTTTTAAGATGGCCAGTCAATTATTGCTCGGCCACGGTAATCTGGGATCTCAGGAATTAATCTGAGCCGGCCATAATTGCTGCCCTGTAATCTGCCTGAGAAATGTTTTCGCTTGCCCTTCATTTACACCCACAAAGGAAAATATATTCAAATATGCCGTTTTGAATGAAAAGTGCAGAAGACTTCTATAAACAGAGTAGGGAGTACACTTCACAGAGACAGTTTCTTTGCTCTTCTCTGTGTTTTTCTCGAGAGAACACACACAAACCTGCATGCCTCTTGTGAATTATTGATCACTCTGTGAAGGGAGCAAAATTGTAAATGTTTGTTTCTGTCACTGTTCCTCATCCAGGCAATCCTCGAATCTCCAGAAAAGCAGCTAACACTAAATGAAATCTACAACTGGTTCACACGAATGTTTGCATATTTTAGGCGCAACGCAGCAACGTGGAAGGTAATTTTGCTGTTCTTCCTGACTTCTTTAAACCAGAAGGAGATGTTGTGTTGATGTTGGGGAGAATGAAATGATAGCCAGGCGTAATACCTTTATAAATTAACCTCTACCCAAACATATAACAATACTCCACTTATTCAGTCCAAATGAACCGCCCTTTAAGCAAACATGTGAACCACATAGAAAAACCAAAGAGAGGAATATGTGCATTCTTGTGAAAACGAAAAAAGAAGACAGAGAGCGAAGAAAATGAAAATCTCCTAGTAATATGTGGGGATGTTCTGGTGGTGGGTGGCATTAGTCTAACATAGCAGTGCTCTGCCAGTGACTCCTGGCTGAGCCTCTCACACTTACTTCAGAAGGGAACACTCTGTTTTCCACCAGGCCACAAACACACATATACACACACACACAGTCACACACACAACAAAAACAAAACAATAATCTAAAAAAAGAAATTGACTGGAGTCAGAAAGGGAGATTTGAATGAGCCTCAGCCTTAGCTGGTCTGTGACACGCAGCTGGATGAGACCCAACATACACACTCACACTCACACTACCACCACCTTGCTCCACCCCCGTCCTCCATCAGCTCCCACACTCACTGACAACCCTTCCATAGGGGCACATTGGTGTTCTAAACACTGGATTCCACAACTCTCTCTCTATACACACACATACTTAATATACACACATGCACTCAGTGTAGCTCCTGGAATAACAAAGGGATGATATATGCAGGTGTACTTTCATGCCTAAATGGTTTGGATTGGACCCTGGATTTAAGTTTTAATAGCTCTTTTTCCTCACATTGTGATGCATCTAAATGACTCAGAACCCATGAGTGAAATGTTAGTTTTCTGCATTTCACTCATTACATTTGTACTGACTGATCAGAAAAGGCAGTGTTGTGAGTGATAAGAAAAAAAGTATGTCACTGACTCTATTGCCATGGAAACCAAGAAATATTTACTTGTTGTTTAAGTCATTTGAAACTTTGTGACCATTTACTGCCAATAACATTCTGGTTTATTTATTGTTTTCATTCAGGTTTCATCCAGTGCCTGTCATAATATTTCTTCTTTGAAATGATTTTTTTCCCCCATGCAGACAATGTTTACTGTACTGATAGCAACCTTTCCTTTTCTCTCTTTGTTTTCACACCAACTGCAGAATGCAGTCCGGCATAATCTTAGTCTTCACAAGTGTTTTGTGCGGGTAGAAAACGTAAAAGGGGCTGTCTGGACAGTCGACGAAATAGAGTTCCAAAAGAGACGGCCTCAAAAGATCAGTGGGTAGGTTTGGCCTTTTGAGCCCTGACTAGCGTCTGTCTCACTGATGGGAAGAGGCTGCTGCTGCTTCATCTCATTGTCTGTGTGCCATAACATCCAAAGTCCCTTCTTGCTTTGGGGTGCCCTCCCCTCCATGCTTTCAGTAGCCTTTTGGTGATGCCTTATAACCCACAGTGGCTTATTTTCATTTGGATCCTCACCCTCTGCCCTCCTCCCTGTGTCTGTCTGTCCATCCTCTGTCTGTCCTGTTGATCACTGCATCTGCATCTGGCTGCCCCTGCTCCCTCCCCGCTGGTTTGCTTTCCCAGGGTGCCATTCGCACCAACCTTTCCCTGCATAAGTGCTTTGTGAGAGTAGAGGATGAGTTTGGGTCCTTTTGGACCGTTGATGATGAGGAGTTTAAGCGCGGCCGCCACATACAGCGAGGCCGCCCTCGGAAATACGCCGCTGATGAGAACTTTGAGGAGCTGCTCGTACAGTAAGCACTTCCGCCTGCGCTGCAAACTCCAGAGGTCCAGCCCTACCTGCATGCTCCCCCCTTCCCCTCCCCCGTTCAGTGTTGTCATCATGCTTTTTGTGTTTAGCTCGACATCCATCATGCTTTCACAAGATCTGCTTCCATCAACTTGTTCTTTCTTCCCATGAAATGCAAAGTGTTGAAGGTAGTTGTGTGGTATTGTGAAGTGATTGAACATCTTAGAACTATAGCCTTAATATCCACATTACTACACCAGTAAATGTGTTTAGTTCTTATACAAAGTGCATTGATTTCTTTTTATGAAATAAGATACTGCAGCTGAGGAATGCATGCTAGGTGAGACATGAGTCTGTGGTTTGTAATTTAATTGTTCTCTGTTTGCAGAAGTCCAGCCTTAGTGAAGAACATTCAGACCAGCTTGGGCTATGGTCCGACCCTCTCTGCTGCCTTCCAGGTAAAAAATAAAAAGTGACTTCATCTTTAGCTGCCTTGCTCTGAACTTCTAAAAAATACAAAATAATACAAAATCTCTCCTCTAGTCTTTGTTTTGAAGGGGTTGTACTGGTATGAAAAGAGTGATGGGCAAGTGAGAAAGTGCTGACAACTCTCTTCCGTTTCACATTTAATGCTTCGGGCTTTCCTTTTCAGGCTTCAATGGCAGAAAACAACATACCTCTATACACTACTGCTTCCATTGGAAGTCCCACCCTCAACTCCCTGGCCAACGCCATCCGTGAGGAGATGAATGGAGCGATGGACCATGGAAACAGCAACGGCAGTGACAGCAGCCCGGGACGCTCGCCCCTGCCAGCTATGTGAGTGGCACGCACGCGCTTTCTATCCCCACCACAATGTGTGTAAGAAAAGAGAAGAGGGGGAAAGAGTTTGAGCTGTCTGCTCCACAGAGACAGCAATGCTCTAAATAGAGTTGGATAGAAAATGATTTCAATGCCCACCCAAAATGCTCTAAAATTACCTAATGCATGGCATTAGATGAAAGAGAAACAATACCGGAGAGGACAATAAATAAAGTGAAGAGGGATGATATTGGAGTGGTGTGTGTGGGGTCATGGCCAGAGCCGTGGCTGGCCTCCCTGCAGAAAAGGAAACTCCACCTTTTCGAAGAAAGAAAAGGCCGGAGCCCCTCTGTTATTTTAACAGCGGGTTTATGAACTCTCCTTTATATGTCCTGCTGTCTGTCTGAGTCCCGCCATTATCAGCCGTCCAATTTGTTCAAATATTTACAAAATGCCAGAATGCAGAGTAACAGAGCTGTTGGCTCCGACATGGTGAAACACGAGCCGCAACACCTTCACAAACGCCTCTGAGCCGCTGCAAGAAAAAACAACACAAAAGCATAATTAGTCTGGAGGACATCATCCAAGATTCTCATGTAGGAAAGTTGCGGTCGGCCTGGAAACCGCAGCTCCCCGTTCACTTGTTGTATAGGAGTGTCTGCTAAGTTGTTTGAAGCCTAAAATAATACAGCACACGCTGCATCGTTTCCAGATGTGGGGGCAGACCACCGATGCACAGCACGGGTAGACTCAGGGATGGCCTCCTGAAATGTCTGAGCTTGGGGGAAATTCTGCCTGAAAACAAAAAAAAAAGGTGCAGTAATGAGCTCCTGGCCAAATGGAGGAAAGTGCCATCCCTAATCACTGTGAACATAGCTCTGAGCGTGGCTGTGGAACAGGAAAGGCAGAGACAGGATGGGTGTGCTGGCCTAAAGGCAGCCTGCTTCTCCCTCTGCCCCTCTGCTTCTATCTTTAGGCTGATGGAGCTCACAAACTCCTTCTCCATAATTATGTCTATAAGCTTTATTCAAGCACAAAATGAGTTAAATCTGTTTTCTTTTGCTTTTAAAGAACTTTATTCTCTTATTAACAAAACATACCCACTGTTTCATGCCTACGGATTGAGCATTAAATGTTATGTACAGCAGCACCATCACTGCAAGTCTCCTCCTGCTCAGGCAATGAGCAATAAACTAACATGTGTGATAAATATCCCTCTTATACTGTGATGCTTTGCTTCCAAATACAAGCTCATCACTACTGTTAACTGCGCAACAACATGTGTTTTCCACATGTGCCAGTGTTGCTGCCGGTTTGACAGGACGCAGCTTTTTAACACTGCACGGAAACCAGAGCACTTCTCTTAAACAGCCAGACGAGAATCAGGTATCCAGAGACGGCTAATTATAAGCAAAGTGTGGAATCAGCATGCAGTTCAATAGCATAATAATAACAATTTCATGTCTGCCCTGCAGCCACAGAGTCAGACCCGAGGCAACAGCACTTGTGGAGTTACTTTGATGTGAAAGTGATAGAAAAGCTGACTTTACTTTTTCCCCCTTTTTATAATTCACACAAAAATATGTTGGCTCATTAGCATAAGAGTGTCTCCATCACAATGCTTGCAAATCACACAAGACGTCCTGGTGAGAATAAATCAAATGTGGGCTTTGGCGGTGAAGACTGTGCCAGTTGTCCCTTGTTGTTGTAGTAAATGAGCCTGGTGCCTCATCCTGACACCGCTCTACCTCCACTACAGCAGCCTGGCACCGCGGGTTAGAGCGGCAAGTCCCCTGCAGCTGCTCATAATGTTTTTACTTTTTTATTTTTCTCCTCCTTTCTGCCACAGCCAGGCCTCCTCTTCCCCCCTGCGCTTTATTCCTGTTCTGCTTCTGTAATGAGAAATTTGGCAGATCTCATCTCTTTAGCGCCTCTTTCGCCCAGGCTGTGAGCTTGGGGGGGGGGGCTCATGTTTTTGCCTTGTTTACAAGTGACAGCGTTATTATTCTCATAAGGGCTCTGTTCCTTATCACAGTGTTGTGCCGAGTGAGCCGCTGCTGCTCTCCTTGCGCGCCTTTCCTGCCAGCGCTTTTCTTCCCTTATTGACACTTGCTTGAAAATATGCATTAATTCTGGAGTTTAAAGCATGTACGGCAGTGTCTGGTCGCTGTGTTTGCTTGAAGTTGATTAATGATAGAAGCCGGCTCGGGGTCGTCCTCTGGAGACCCGCCTTGCAGGTTGTGCATGTTAACGAGCAGGAAGGGGAACACACAGCGCGCCGCTGATCCTCCGCCACCAGGAGGCTGACAACGGCAGCCCACTCGCTCCGCACACAGTCCATTCTCTCCTCTCCTCGTCTCACGTTGTTAATCTTCCTCATTTATCAATTCTAAGTGAATACCCTGTTGTCGGTTGCCATGAAAATAAAAAGCCTGCAGCTTTGCCGGGATTGGAATACCTCAAAAGGAAGCTGAAATTATCATCAGCACCAGTGAGGCCCCCGCTCACAGTCTCATTGAAGCCAGACATTTGTTTTTGTTCCCCTGTTTCCTTCTTTATAAACAGAATCAGCACAGCCCTGTATCTGTGCCTGCGTGTGTGAAAGGTTATGAAAAGAAAAAATGTAAGAAAGTTAAAGATAGCAGAACTGGAGCTACAATTCTTGACTCTGCTCTCCTCCTCCAGGCATCACATCAGCGTTAAGGAGGAACCACTGGACCCCGAAGACCACGAAGGGCCCCTCTCCCTGGTAACGACTGCCAATCACAGTCCGGATTTCGATCACCACAGAGACTACGACGACGACCAGGGCCACGACGATATGCTGTAAGGCTATAGCACCGCGCGCCCCCCCCGCTCCCCCCTCCCCAGCCTCAGAGGCAGAGGCAGTCTGGGTCATCTGGGAGACGGAAAGGCTCCGCAGATAACAAACACTGAACTGCAGTCTCAGCCACTGAAGACAGCGCTCAAATGTCTCCAAGTTAACTTTTTAGTGCCATTACAATACATAGCAAGAACACACATACAAAAAAAAACACGCCCCCAGGCGAGGGATTTTTTTCTTCTGATTACTTTCTACTTTTGATTCAAATAAAACTTAAAAAAAGTGAAAACAAACTTCATTTCTACTCATGTGCGGGATTGGACTTGCTTGGTACGGGGGGTGGGTCGGGGTGGGGGGGGGTGGGGGGGAGCAGGCGACGTATTCGCGGTCAGAGACCCTCGCCGTGCAGCCGGGACGGACTCGCACTCAGCGGACTGCAAAGAGGGGGTTGCATCTCTACCCCCCCAGCCACCCACCAACCCCCCCTCCCTCCCCATCCACTCTCTCTCCCTCGCTCTCTCAGACACACACATCTGACCACAAACTCAAGAGAGAGAGAGAGAATGACTGACGTTTAATTTACACCATGCGTGTGTGTGTGTGTGAGGGAGAGCAAGTGTGGACTTCTGTTCATTGTCACTGCCTTCAACACTTCTCATTGGTTTCAATCTAGGGTGGGAGAGATTTTTTATTTGGGTGTATTTTTTGTGGGGGGGTGAGAGGTTATAAAATATCAACATAATGTGTCTTTTCCATTCAATGCTGTTATTGTTGTTGCATCTTTTTTTTTATTTCTTTAAACTGATCAGACCTCATGCCCATGCTGTGGAGATTCTGTGTGGTCAGCACTTGATGATGAATGTTTATGATTTCCTTTCATGTTGTTCTTTTAAACACACACATGAAGCAGAATGTCAGATACCAAGTAGTATTTTTCTGTCATTTATTCCACAATCTTCAAAAAAAAAAGGAAGAAAAAAAAAGTCACCACTCTTGACGTGTTGCCCGCCCCCCTCCCCCATCCTCCTCCTTCTCCTCCTCCTCCTCCTGCTCATGAAGTCCATTGGCAATGCACTACTCATAATGAAGGCTCTCTCCACGCATCAATGAAGTTTAATTTAAGATGCGAATGAATGACAGAGAAATCATGCAGGTTATGATTTATCCTTATGAAATTATACTTTAAAACAGCCCCTCATGGCAGAGCATGTTGCGCTGCAACAGAATTTCTGATCACCCACAAGCGCCTGGTTTTTTAAAGGAAAATGGAAATGTCAGGTGTGCACCGGCAGAGATAATGATTTAGACCAACTAATTGTGATTCCTGAACACAGCTGTCATTGTTAATCAAACGTGTCTGCTTTTCCACGCCGTAATTTCATTCAGTGCTTGAAGATAAACGTGCATTCCCTGTAGTTTTATTTGTATCACGCGCATGGCTTGTTTAAAGTTTTTTAGTGAGTGTTAATAATTGCACACCAGATGAAATGCTCATTTTTCTTTCATCAAGGGGAAAAAGAATCCCAAGACTTGCAATAAGACCTAAACATTGCACATTCCAGCATTTGACAGCCATCACAAAGGGCCCAAACATACAGTACATGCCATTTTAGGGACTGTGGATACCTCGACGTTCAGTGTCACCCAAAAAGCCAATAGTTGTAGTCCACAGCGTTGAACCGAGTGGAATCCACATGTGGTTTTGTAATGCAGCAACAAAATTCCAGCTTTGGTAGGGAGTCAAATTTTTAAAGAAACCATGAATTTCAAAACTGCAATCAACCACTTTTAATTTTTTTTTTTTTTTTAATTTATTATTAGTGTTATTATTATTTCATGTTTTATTTGGCTTTAGTTGTTGATGTGTTTGAATATCTTGTTCTGTGACTACCAAAGATAAACTACAAAGTCAATGTTGTGTGTTCCATGCAATAGCAGATAAGGCCAAATATCTCTCCTCCATTCTCTCCCGCTGTACTATCTCAGCAGCTGCGATTGAGCCAGCGGCAGATCGAATCGAGGGAAGTGCTCCTCAAACTGGTGTTTTCATTCATTTTTAAAAACCAAAGGGGGTGTCTTGAACAGGACAGCTGCAGTAATGTTTGCAGTGACCAAAACTGAATGGGAGGCGCTGACAGTCTGACTACATGATGACCAAATTAGGGAAACTTTTTTTTTTTGTCTTTGGGCCAGTGAGTGGAAAAGGGAGCTTTTTGGTCAGGAACAGATTTGTGTGCAACATAAAGGGTATGTAGATAAAAGAAAAAATATACTGGTAAATGGGAAAAGCTTTGCAGAGAACAATGTGAAACGGATTCTATACTTCAACTGGACCACACAATGATTCAATGTTTCTCTTCTTTTATTCCTTATTTCATTTGTATCCTTTGTAATGATTGTATGCCATTTTTTAGGGGTTTTAGCGTCTTTGTTAAGATTGGCAAGACTTTATGATTGTGTTTAGTTTCTGTCAACTTATTACTTTTTATATTAAAAAACACTCCTGTCAACTAATAAGCTGGGTACAAGGTACTTTATGGCAGTTATTGTTATTATTATTATATTTTTTAAGTTCACCGCTCATTAATTAAAAAAGGAAAAGGGCAATCTGTGGTTTCCAGAAGATGTATTTAATATCCAGGCAGCTGTGGGACGGGTCAGTTACAGCCGGGCTAGGATCGTGAGAACAGGGCCGAGCTCATCCACAAACCCCCAGTCATCTGGCTGGTTTGTTTGGTATTGAAAAAGGAGAAAAAGCGCTGGTAGATTAGAACATTCTCAGCATGTTGTAGCTCGACATTACTAAAGATAACAGCATGAGAAAACCGTTTGTACGCATACCTCAGTTCAAACCTATAGGGAATGATTCAATTAAATGAGAAGAAAATAAACAAACATTTCACTCAGTTGCACTTAGTTGTACGTCTTGCATGTGTAGTCTGATACTGTAGAGAGAAAATTACAAAAAAAAAAAAGAAGAAAATGAAATTAGAGCTTGTTTATCTTAAAGGTTTCATCCTTTTTTTTTGCCAAACCAATCCAAACCTCAGGCCTTTTGTTCACTGAGATATCACCCAGCTGTGTGTGGCACCGTTCATCCTGTCAAAGTCTGTTCTCTGATGTACTGATGGGTTGTTTTAAGGGCGTTCCAATATTAGGTTGTACATACATGTCAGTATAGCCTTTGTCTTTCCCCTGTCCTTTTCCCTCTCTCTCTCGCTCTCTCTCTCCCTTTTTTTTTAAGATCAAAAAATACATTTGTGTTATGATGTTTGCTTTATCGCGACTGCTTTGTATTAACTATGAAATAGCTATGAGAAAAACTGCTGTATGTATTGGAATAGCAAACTGTGCTGCAAATGTATTTTACTTAGTAATCCTTGCTTTAAAAAAAAAAAAAAAAAAAATCACATCTTCCACGCAGACGTCTGGGTGAGCTGGGCAGGGGCAGGCTGGGAGGGGGGATTATCCCCAATTTTGGATTTTAAACTGTAATATAGAAAACAGACTTTTCTCTGTTATCATTGACCTAAGCATTTTGTACAGATTTTTTTCCCTCTTTGTGTTAAGCTGTTTTTTGATACTTCCTTTTGATGGTCCAACCACTGCCTTCTGTGGCTGTATGTTAAAGATTACTGCTCTGAGAAAAGGGCAGACAGGTATATTTCCTCTACAAGACGGAGATATCTTGCATGACTAATCCCAGGGTCACAGAGATTGGGGTGTGGGGGTGTGGGGGGGGATATGGTTTAAGTGGTCAGTAATAATATAAGGGTGTATCAATCTAATGATATTTTATATGAAATTAATAGGAAAAAGAAAAAAATATGCAGTGCCAAGATGTAAAGAATATTGTTAAATGCTGTCTTTTTTTTTTTTTTTGTTTGGAAAAAATAATTTCACTTGCGCATCAAAGATGTCTCATCCATGTCACGTAGGTAAAACACACATTTTTGTTTGGCATCAAGATATTTATATTTTTATCTCAAGGGTCATTGTAAATGAGTCAAACCAAGCACAGCAGGCAGGTCAACGGTTAGACGCTGCTGGAGACTAACGTCCTGCAAACTGCGGCCGTGTGGCATCAGATCCCCCAACATCACACACTGGCACCCGAGCTAAGACGCCATTGTTTCATCCATCACCGACCATCCAGCCCGCTGTCATTCCGTCCCCCTCTCTTCTCCCTCTCTCTCACACACCACACTTTGTGTCTTTTCCAGATGGAGGGAGGGAGGGAGAGAGGAGGGGTGGAGGGGGGCAGCCCAGGAGCTGTCACGGTGCTCTCATCCTGCAGCAGCTTTTCTTTCTCTTTCTTTTTTCTTTTCTTTGAAGATGTACTCTGTAGTTTCTTTTTCCTGTTTTTTTTTTTTTTGTTTTATAGAGAAATATTATTGCTCATCACTTCCATCAGTCTGTAACCTCCTCATCATTCCTCGTCTGTCTGATGCAGACCACTCTGTTGTAAGTCAGTGGCGAAGACTGACATGAGCATTCTAAACATGCAATAAAATGCTGGTTGTTCAGATGGTTTCCTCCAAGTCTCTCTTTGTACAGTGTGGCAACGCGGAGCTGCACACTCTGATTGTATCTCATGTAATTGAACTGGTGATGACAGAAGAAAGGGTTAATGCAGAATTAAGTAGTCTGAACACATTTACACTTCCACATGATAGATGCACTTTTTGCAGCACTCGCAATGCAAAACAGCTTTTGTGTTTAGCTGTAAAGTCAATCAATGCAAAAAAAGTGAAGAGAATATATTTCTGACTGATACAAACTCATATTACCAGATATATTTACAGTTTCCGTTTTGCAGATGGCACCTGTGCTGTTTTCCTCATTATTTCAGCCTGCAGAACCGTTTCACACAGACCTGTGTTTGTCATCTGCTGCAGGACTCTCATCTCAGCCTCAACATTAAATTATATCGTAATTAAAAAGAGACAGTTAAACTGTCTTTTCCCAACAGCAATTTAGGTAACTGCATTTGATAAGCTATAAATTGTAACAGCATTAAAATTCCAGAAATAATAGCGATATGGATTTGGTGACGGGAGCTAATGCTGATGACCAGGACTTGCGTTTTTACGACGGAGGCACAGGTCATGTTGGCTACTAAACAGGAGACAGAGATCAAGTCTAAGCACTTTTAATCTTGTGAAACAAGCAATTACAAATAGTTGCATTGATTTGTTAAAAAGCTTTAGGTGACATAAATCGTTTTCTTGCTTAGCTTATTGCTGGAAAACATAAATGTCAGGTGTATTATTAATTAAGGCCTTTGAAAGACAAGATTTAATGGAAACGATATAAAATCACAAGCAATCTTTCTGTAGGCCGTATTTC